ACTTGAAGGCAGACATGACAACCGCAGCAACAATAACAATAACAACAACAATAACAGCAGTGATGACCACAAATGTCAGTCAGGGCTGTCTCAGAATGACGTTTCATGCACCATTTGAAGAGGTGTTGGACGCCGTTCCGTGCAATGGAAATTGACAGCGCCTTTCTGCAAACGCATAACAATAGCAAGGACAGCGTTGGAAGAGAGAGCGAGTGCAGGCAGAAAGGGCAGATGGCATCATAGCTGCTGGCTGCTCTAAAATTAACACACGTTTAATATGCAGGTCGTGCATAAATTTTCGTGCTGTCATTTTTTGCTCAGTGCATGCAGTTTGCTTGTTGGCGAGCTTTATGCTTTTTAATTTACCGTCAGACGTCAGGTCAACAACAGCAGGACGCCAAGTACCACGACATTGTGGGAGACATGTCAGCGCCACAGAAACTCCAGTGTAGTCGTGCACAGTAAACGCTAGATTCAGAGCCAGAGGCAATCATGGTCATTGCCTTTATTTCCTCCTCTTCCTTCCCATTTTTCACCACTCCTCACTCCATCTGCTGGTCGTTGTCTGAGTCTCTGGCATTGTTGTTGCCTGTCGCATACGTGCAATGGCCGATGGCGGCTCGTTATCGTCATTATCATGGCCAGCATTAATGTTGATGCGATTTAATTGGCAATTGAGTTGATGCAAGTCGCCAACTCAGGCCCAGGCCGAAGTCAGTTCCCTCGTCTCCACAGCCTCATCCTGCCCGGCCAATACTCTGACAAGTGCACCCAGCGTAAATTTTATAATTTCATTATAAAGGGCTGTTATGGGCAACAGGCAATCCCTGAATGCACTCATTAAAGCCACAAGCACAGATATTGGACCACTCAGAGTGCAGCTGAATTTACGGCCCAAGCTAAAAGAACAAACAAGCCACCAAAAATGCTGTCTAATTAAATGCTGCGATTTCGCATTGAAAAAATTACAGCAACGGTTTAAGCTTTAAAAGTCTTTTAGGGATATTTCACTCTGCTTTCACAATAAATATATGTGAATATCAATTCACTAGACTGTTTAAGAATAAATTGTGAAACTTGATTTAAGAAATTTGTAATTTACCTGTAGCTTGCATTTGGTCATAGAAAACAGATTTTTATTAGACTTGCTACCTACAACATTTTTGATAATGACTTAAATTAGCAGTACGTTTTTGACAATTGCCAACTCTATTTACTTTTGGGCATCTAAAAATGTTTATAATTTAATAATCACTTATAAAATTCAAAGAGTCTGCCTTCCGTAATTTATCACATTCAAAACTCTAAAAGTAAATTACCATTTCCAACCATTATTTGCGAAAACCAGCTCCTCTTCTGTTGTAAACTTCCGAATTTATGTGTTTTTCACTATTATGCATATAGGCAAAAACTATTAGCCAAGATTTCCATATTGCTGAAGCCAATTTTTGGATAAATCCCCGCACTGCCAGCACATTTGTCGCTAGACGGCTGACGCCTGCTGGCCAAGTCCTGCCAAATTCCTTTTGGCATCCATAAACGACAACTGTTGCCAAGGCAAGAAGTGCTACAGAGCAAATCGGCATTGGCATCATCGTCAGCTTCAGCCTCTGCCCAAATCTTCCCAGTTCGTGGCAGCATCTAATTAGATTGTTCTGGCAGCCGTACAAATTTCTCGACGCCACTTTTGGCGCCAGCAGCCGACTGGCAGTTCAAAATTGTTAAATAATTTAAAAATAAATTAGAAGCAAATTTTTTATTTTCTGTCTGTGTGCGGAACAATGAAACATAAGAATACCATCCAAATCGTAATCAATTTCATGCATAACAGTTAAATAAAATTTAATTTGCCAGAAAAACGAAGTCAATGAGAGTTAAAATGCCAAAAAATATGGTAGGAAAAAATTCAAATCAAGTCAAATCTCAAATCTCATGCAGAAGTGAGCAAAAAAATCACAATCTTTTCGCCAAGAAGAAAAAGACGGCGGTGAGAGTGACAGGCATAAAAAGTGCGGCAAGTGGCATGAATGCATTAGAGCTAGCCTTCGGCGGACACGATGCGTTGCTCGTAATGAAGACAACACACTTGTGTAACAGCAGCAGCACCAACAACAAACTTGGGCAGACAAACACTAATACAAATGAAGCCTGTCAACATTTATTATTAATTTTAATATTTTAAAGTGCGCTGCAAAAAAATGAGAGAAACAAAAACTTGGCCACTTTGCAAGCTCTTGATCGTATCATGGGACTGGGATTATTCTTTAAATTCTGTCGGTTGCACACAAGCACAATATAAAAAAAACTTTGCCATGATACTCATAGACTAATTTTGTGGTTTGTTGCGCGTCACTGGAGCTTAGCTGTAAAATACTTAATATGTCAACTGGCCATTAACCCCAGAAGGCTCAGCTTGGAAAATTGCTCTGCTTACATAACTTCTAGGTAACCTGTGTCCAACAGCTTGACAACCAAATGGCTTACATAACTTATTTATATATTTTTTTTTCACAAATTGAATGTTAAGGTCTTGTATTTTACAATAAAATATTAATCAAAATATTAAACTGCGAAGCAGTTTCACCAAATTAAATTGTCACATGTGTATTTGATATACACTTTTGTTTCAATCTGCATATTGGCTTTATATGAATACATATGTATGTATTTAAAGATATATTATTGTAATAAAGTTTCATATTTTTGAGGTGTGACCTCTTAATAAACTTTGAACGTTAATCTTATGAAATTAACATTATGAAAGCAAATATGAAAAGAAAATGCAGGCAGCGTATTTAAACTCGTTGAACTACATTAATTATAAGATTTCAATTTATAAATAAAATAAAAGTAATGTTAAGTATATATATTTTTTACAGCCTTAAATTAAAGTTAAACCATTAAAATCCTCAGTTGTTTCCTCATCTGTGGTAACAGACACATCAGCCTTGTCTCTAACCAATGCAGAAACCTATCTTTCATCTTGTAATTTGCGCGCGTTAAAAGCAACTGAAAAAAGCAGACAAGTGAAGTAACAAAAAAGTACAAATAAAACCAACTTAATTTAAACGACAAGCAAAAAATAAATGGTTGAAAAATTTAACAACGGGGAGCAGCAAGCAGCAAAAAAGAAAATACAATGAAAACCACAAAGCGACGTTTTTGTATGGGAGTGTCGCATGCAGTCACGCTGTATTGGTCTGTCTGTGTGTGTGTATGTGTGAGAGAGAGAGAGTGTGTGTGTATGTGTGTGTAAGAGTGTGTGCGCATATTTCGCATGCCAATCAACTCAACAATCGCAATCAATTTGCACACTGCTGCTTCTGCAGTCGATGGCCACCCCATTTTACAGGCGGCAACGCTCCCCCGGTTCGAGAGGATATTGTTATTGTGCAGCAGCGTCTGTGTGATATATATCAGCAAAAGCCAAAATAAAAAGTGTTGTCGCCGCAATGCCTTTTTTAATTACGTTACTGCGCCATTAAGGACCGCAGTGTCTGGCAATGAATCATCACAATGAATATGGAATGAGCTTAAGATTTGCGTCAAACGCTTCAAAAACGTCGACGTCGACGACACGTCCTCCAATGGGGAAATCATCTCATACGTAGTCAGAATGGCATACGCAGTACTTTAAACTTGGCACAAATTTATGGGCATTATATTGAAATCATAAGCATAATACGCATTCGACGCGTTGACGCCAGCTTATATATCACAAATTGCCAAGTATTGTTATGCTAAATTTATTTGTGCTCACACATGAGCTCGGGGCAAGTGAGTGTGTGATAAAACTTTTGTTGCTGCTGGTAACTTTATCAGGCGCACGATTGAAACGCAGCTTCCGTTTCCGCTTCAAAATGGCTGCCAATGCGAACTGAGGACTTTGCCTGCAAACAAATCAGCTTGAACTTCCGTTTCATTTGGCATTTTTTGTCATTCCATATTCTTTTGCAAGTTCCCAGTCCTCATTCAGCACTCCTCCACGCCGTTGGATATAGCTCACAATTTTTACTGTGCATTTCGGCAAGTTTTTCGTAAATTTACTTTTCACTTTCAGCGCCCGCCATCAGAAAAGTTTCCTGCCTAGCTAACTTTTGGCTCACATAACGTATATTTTCATAATTTTTTTTCTCTTCCCAACTGCTTTTCAATGTCAATGCACACACTCACAGATACTCACTCACACACACACACATACATATAATGGTGTGAGAGAAAAGGAAACTTTGTCTTTTTGGCATTTCATTTCGTTCATTTCGGGCTTTTGCACCTCGAGCGTATGTGTAGATTTCAATGGTACCGTGATTCTGTTTAATTTTATGCTCGGCTGCTTTTTTAAATTCTTTCCCTCGTCTGCATTAAAATATTGTTTGCTTTTTCCAGCTATTTTTTTTTTTTTCTGTGACATTCTATTTGGAAATCAATCAGCGAGCACGTGTTTTGTTAGGGACTGATAGCTTTCACCGTAACAATGTCTTTTACAATGTTTCGTAAGCAGTGAAGATGCAAATAGGGATCCAGTAGGGAAGGTCGCATTTAAATTAGCATCTATTTTTAGACTGTCAGGTGACTCTCAACTGATAAAGAATCAAAAATGAATTGCCAACAGTAAGCAATGTTTATTTAAAATCACATTCTTTTTGGGGAAAGAAGTATTTAAAAACGAAATATACTTTTAAAAACATTTAAATATTGCAACATTTTTTAACATACTCTAGACTGCTTCATATTATTGTATCGGATATATTAAGCTGTTTTTATAATAGTCTAAGAGATCTATTAATTGTACGAAAATGAGTTTTAATATATTTTGAATTCTCTTAAATAGGCCGCTAAAGAGCTCATTTCAAGTGTAGGCTCCCTTTGACTGGTTGCTGCTCTCTCCTCACTGACAAGGTACGTCTTGTGCTCTGTTTCTTATCTGTTTTTTGCAAACAGAACTTGAATAAATGTCGCCCCAGTTTAGATAGTTTGTTAGTATGTCGTAAGAACTGAAAGTGTGAAGTTGACTTCGTGATAGAATTGTTAAAATGAACCTGCTGCATTTGTGTTTAATACTGATGGCCTGTTTGTGCCATGTCTGGGGCTACTCCTATCTTATGATATCGCACACAGCGGCCAATTCGCACTTTTATGTTGGACAGGCTCTGGCCAAGGGTTTGGTTGCCGCAGGTCATGAAGTCACCGTGATCTCACCTTTTCCACAAAAGAATCCCCTCAAGAACTATGTAGATGTGCCAACGCCAAGTTCAATTTCAGTCATGGCTGGTAAGTCCTGATGTACTTAGCGGTAATTTTAATCAGCTAGTCGCCGGCTGATAGCACTGTCAATATATATAAATGCAAAAATAATGATAATATGTGATTACAAAACTCAAATCAATATTCATATTAACTTACTTCATTATTAATTTGTTTTCTGATGTAGGTACAAAATTAAGCAAGCAAAGAAATGACCCACTTCCGTATCTTTTCAGTACACAAGAACAAGATACTGGACATTGTCAAAATACCCATATTATTTCGACTGCCCGCAATGCATGGAGTGGGAATAAGCATGACTCAATCTTTGCTGGAGGAACATTCGGTGCAGTCACTCCTATCTCAGAATCGAACATTCGATGCGGTTATATGTGAGGTATTCATGAACGAGGCACATTTCGGTTTTGCGGAACACTTCAACGCGCCGCTGATAACCTTTAGTACCATGGGCGCCTCCTCCTGGACAACTGATCTAGTTGGCACACCATCGCCACCCTCGTATGTGCCCCACTTTCTGCTCCAGTTTGGCGATCATATGAACTTCTTTGAGCGTGCACACAACCTGCTCTTCATATTGTATCAGGGCGCTTATGAGCAGTGCGTCTATTTTCCCAAGCAGGAACAGCTCTATAAGAAGTATTTCCCCAACAACAAACAGAACTTTTACGATATGCGTAAGAATACGGCACTGGTGCTTCTCAATAATCACGTTTCTTTGGGTTTCCCACGTCCGTATGCTCCCAACATGATCGAAGTAGGTGGCATGCATATCAATCGCAAGCGCCAGCAGCTGCCTCAGAACATTGAGGACTTCATTAATGGTGCCCAGCATGGGGTCATATATTTTTCATTGGGTTCTAATTTAAAGAGCTCTGCCTTGCCTCTGGAAATGCGTGAGGCATTAGTCGAAACCCTCCGTAATCTCAAGCAGCGAGTACTGTGGAAATTCGAGGAACCCAACTTGCCCGGCAAGCCGGATAATGTCTTCATATCAGACTGGTTCCCACAAGATGATATATTGGCTCATGAGAAGGTCATCCTGTTCATCACACACGGGGGCCTACTCAGCACAACCGAATCGATTTACCATGGCAAGCCTGTTCTGGGTATTCCATTCTTTGGGGATCAGTTCATGAACATGGCACGAGCTCAACAATCAGGCTACGGACTTACTTTAAGATTCACCGAACTGACAGCTGAGACCTTTAAGAATTCCATTAATAAACTACTCAGTGATCCGAGCTACACTCAAAAAGTGCACGACATGTCTGTCAGATTCCGGGATCAGCATGAAACGCCGCTGGAACGCGCCGTGTATTGGGTGGAGCATGTGACTAGGCAGAAGGGCGCCCGATATCTGAGAAGTGCCTCACAAGATCTGAACTTTATACAGTACTATAATTTGGATGTTCTTATTATGATTATTGGAGGCTTGGGATTTGTTATATTTACTTTTATCTACCTGTTGATGGCTCTTATTAAAGTAATTGCAAAGAAAATTGGAGGTAAACGAAAGAAAGCAAAACGTAATTAATAAAAATTATTAAAGTATTTGCTATTTTATGTAGTTTTTGTAAATAATATTTTTAAAATGGCAAGACCAGCTTACTGAGAAAATTGTTTTAATGCCAGTCTTCATAAATATTTATAAGACTGTTTAAATCGCAGAAGTTGAGTTTGGAAATTAGTTTTTGAATTTAATTCACAGAGCACTCAGTCGCAGAAAGTATACATAATATACATTTAGAGATTTGTAAAAAAAAAAAAAAATCAATAAAAACTATTTTTAATATACAAAAGTAAACGTTCTTGATGATTTGAAGTGAAGAATTTTCCAAAAACTCTTATACAAAAAGAGACAGGCCTAAGAAATATAAGAGAAAATACTGCTCACCAAGAAAGCTCTTTCTCTTTGACTCTTTGGTAAAATAGATAGATAGATCGGTATAGAAGATTTTAGAAGCATTTAAAAGTAATCATTATAAGCTGCACCACTAAGAGTGCATTTAAAGTGCAAGCTCTCTTTGAGTGGTTTCCGTTCTATTCATACTGACAAGAAAGAACATTTTATTTCCAGATGGGATTTGCTTATATTTTTTGCCCAAGCAAATACAGCCAAATTTCGCACAATTGTTAGTATTTCGTCAGAAGTGAAAGTGTGAAGTTGACTTTGATGCTCGACATTTAAAAATGAACCTGCTGCATTTGTGTTTAATACTGCTGGCCTATTTGTGTCATGTCTGGGGCTATTCCTATCTTATGATATCGCACTCAGCGGCCAAGTCGCACTTTTATGTTGGACAGGCTCTGGCCAAGGGTTTGGTTGCCGCAGGTCATGAAGTCACCGTGATCTCAACTTTTCCACAAAATAATCCCCTCAAGAACTATGTAGATGTGTCAACGCCAAACACCTTTGCAGCCATGGCTGGTAAGTCCTGATGAGCTTAGCAGAGGGTAAGTTGGTAAAATTGTTATCGCCGACTGTTAGACATACAAGCGTAATGATGATAAATAATTAAATTCAAGATTCAGACAACAATATGTGATTCCGAAGAGATAAGTGTGGACTGTAGGTAATCTTTTATTTTGGAAATATGCAGCTGCATAAGTATACATTTTCGTCAGTGTTGATAACTACAGATAAGCAAAAACAACAAATTAATATGCACAATGCTGCGCAGCAAAATAGATACGATGCAAAATTAATTTCGGAACGGTCAGCTCAATATCTCAACAATATGAATCTTGTTCTTACATATTTATTAATTTAATATCTGATGTATTTACAGAATTTAACAAGAGCTAAGAAATGTTTATAAATTTTCAGTACACAAAAACAATATACTGGACATTGCCAAAATACCCGTATTCTTTCGACTGCCTGCATTGCATGGCATGGGCCTGAGCTTGACCCAATCTTTGCTGGAGGAACATTCGGTGCAGTCACTCCTATCTCAGAATCGAACATTCGATGCGGTTATATGTGAGGTATTCATGAACGAGGCACATTTCGGTTTTGCGGAACACTTCAACGCGCCGCTGATAACCTTTAGTACCCTTGGCGCCTCCCCCTGGACAACTGATCTAGTTGGCTCACCATCGCCACCCTCGTATGTGCCCCACTTTCTGCTCCAGTTTGGCGATCATATGAACTTCTTTGAGCGTGCACACAACCTGCTCTTCATATTGTATCAGGGCGCTTATGAGCAGTACGTCTATCTTCCCAAGCAGGAACAGCTCTATAAGAAATATTTCCCCAACAACAAACAGAACTTTTACGATATGCGTAAGAATACGGCACTGGTGCTTCTCAATAATCACGTTTCTTTGGGTTTCCCACGTCCCTATGCTCCCAACATGATCGAAGTGGGTGGGATGCATATCAATCGTAAGTGCCAGCAGCTGCCTCTGGACATTGAGGACTTCATTAATGGTGCCCAGCATGGTGTCATATATTTCTCACTGGGTTCCTACATAAAGAGCTCATCTTTGCCTCTGGAAATGCGTGAGGCATTAGTCGAAACCCTCCGTAATCTCAAGCAGCGAGTACTGTGGAAATTCGAGGAACCCAATTTGCCCGGCAAGCCGGATAATGTCTTCATATCAGACTGGTTCCCACAAGATGATATATTGGCTCATGAGAAGGTCATCCTGTTCATCACACACGGGGGCCTACTCAGCACAACCGAATCGATTTACCATGGCAAGCCTGTTCTGGGTATTCCATTCTTTGGGGATCAGTTCATGAACATGGCACGAGCTCAACAATCAGGCTATGGACTTACTTTAAGATTCACCGAACTGACAGCTGAGACCTTTAAGAATTCCATTAATAAACTACTCAGTGATCCGAGCTACACTCAAAAAGTGCACGACATGTCCGTCAGATTCCGGGATCAGCATGAAACGCCGCTGGAACGCGCCGTTTATTGGGTGGAGCATGTGACAAGGCAGAAGGGCGCCCGATATCTCAGAAGTGCCTCACAAGATCTGAACTTTATACAGTACTATAATTTGGATGTTCTTATTATGATTGTTGGAGGCTTGGGATTTGTTATATTTACTTTTATCTACCTGTTGATGGCTCTTATTAAAGTAATTACAAAGAAAATTGGAGGTAAACCAAAGAAAGCAAAACGTAATTAATAAAAATTATTAAAGTATTTGCTATTTTATGTAGTTTTTGTAAATAATATTTTTAAAATGGCAAGACCAGCTTACTGAGAAAATTGTTTTAATGCCAGTCTTCATAAATATTTATAAGACTGTTTAAATCGCAGAAGTTGAGTTTGGAAATTAGTTTTTGGTGAAAAATAAAACAAAACTGTTTGAAATAAAAGGAGCGTATTAAAAAGTTTAGTGAATAATTTTTCACTCTTCCAAAAGCACTGATTCAAGAAGAGATAGGCACAAGAGAAAATGCAGTTGAGCAATAAATTTCGCTTTGACTCTTTGAGAACACAGCGGCTGAGAGCGCGACTAGAAAAATGTGAGAGTGAGCGCTTGATTCAAAATCATAGAGAAGTAAATGGAATATGCAATACACTTTGAGTATGTATATAGCATAGACGTGAATTATATATATGTTCTCTATTATATCGCCAATGAAATACCGGCTGAGCAACCAAACAAAATATTTTTATGAGCAAACAAAAGCCGGCGGCGGATTTAATCGCGAATGACGAATCAAAGCAAACTAAAATAAACAAAAATAAAGACTGATATGCGGCGACAACTAATCTATTATAGTAAACCAGACAAATAACATAGTCCACTCGGCACACCAACTTAAACTTACGCGCATGTAAATATTAAAGTGTGGCTGTTTGATTAAACTTTTGAGTGGCTGGCCTTGAATAACAGCCAAGTCATTATGATGAAACAATTTGATCGGACACAGTTCTCTGTTTGGTGTAGCGCACATTTCCAGTCACATATGAGTTACCGAACGACCAAGCAGCTGTTTAGCTGGCACGTCATTGTTTATAGTATCTTTCATATATATTTACAGATTTGGAATTGGAATTTCGTCAGTTTTGCACGAGCACGCGGCGCGTTTGGATCGTTAATAGAAAACGGTCGCAAATCTAGCGAGTGTTCAAAGTGAATTTTAGAACAATCAACAATTAATTGCTTTTATTATTATTATTATTCCGATATTGTGCTTAACAAAGAACAAAACAAATGTCGCAATCAAGTAGTAAGACTGGTTTCATTGGCCTCACATTGCTATGCCTGCTGAGCTGCGTGGCTTCCTATAATTATATGGTGGTGTTACCCTGTGCCGCTCGTTCCCATTACAATGTGGGCTCGGCCCTGGCCAAGGGTCTGGCAGCAGCTGGTCATCAGGTGACACTGGTGTCACCCTTTGCGCTCAAGAAACCCATTAAGAACATAAATGATCTGCCAGTGCCGAGCATCTTGAAAGCTATGAGCGGTAAGTAATCGTCTTTCGTCTATTGGCTTGTAATTTAATAATCGTTATGATGAAAATAAGGCGAACAATCCGCAATCCAACGACCTGTGAATTAAACAATTAGCACTACCCAGTTACGTAAACGAGGCTTTATTAGCTTATCAATTAAAAATTCTCCACCTTCCTAACAAATATTTCATGAAATTAATATTGATTCTTTCAGTGTGGCTAGTGAATATTTAATTTAATCTGGACAAAATGATAATACTAAAATGATAAAGAAAATAACTTTAATATTTTAGTTCAGTTCAATTATATACTATGTATTTATAAATTATATTTAAAACAATTTCAATGCAGTGTATTACAAGTTTTGAGAGAATACTGCCTTTTTTTCATAACAATCTGTTGAGTTTGATTTTTGTGTTTACTATTTTCAGTGGATAAAAGTAGTTAATTATTCAGATATCAGATAACAGAAATATTAAAAATTGAAATTCACGAACGCATTTTACTTCGAGGCATTTAGCTAAACTTTTTTCCTGACTTTCCAGGCGATATTGGCAACCTGTTAAAAACCTCCGAGGCGCCCATTATCCAACAAATTTTGGGTTTCTATGATATGGGTAAGTTCACAAGCAAATAATTATTAATGTGCATCTGTAAACTGAGTATGTTTCGTTATCGTTGTAGGCATACGGCTAACTGGGGTATTGCTAAGCGACTCTAGTGTAATTGAGCTGATGCAATCTAATCAGACATTCGATGCTGTCATCTGTGAGGTGTTCCTCAACGAGGCTCAATTTGGTCTGGCGGAACATTTCAAAGCGCCGCTCATTGGAATGGGCACCTTTGGTGCCATCAGCTGGAATACTGATCTGGTTAGCTGTCCTGTGCAAGAATTCTCAAGAATCACCTAATACTTTATTTTCCATCAGGTTGGCACACCATCGCCGCCTTCGTATGTGCCGCATACGTTGCTCAAGTTCTCGGATCATATGTCATTGGTGCAGCGAGTCATCAATTTGGCCTTTCTCAGCTACGAGTATCTGTTTATGAAACTGTACTATTTGCCGCAGCAGGAGCAACTCTACACAAAGTATTTCCCCAACAACAAACAGAA